CCGCTTTGTCTTTTGTCTTCCTACTACGGGCGGCGGCGTTTGGGGCACCTCTGTTAATGCAGACAGAGGACCATATGCCAATCCAAGGGCTGCCGCTTCTTGTTTTAATTTGGCTTCCGCCACTCCGCGTCTCAGCCGCCCCAAATTGTCGCGCACCTCCCCAGTTAGGTGCGCGTCTCCCGGCAGGGACATCAATTCCAGGATATCCCTGCAGCGATAGGCTAGAGCCCGAAGCAGGGGATCATCCCGCACTTCAGGCTGATCGAGCCAATGCATTACCTCGTCTGTCGCGCTGAGGTATTCTTCTTCCAACATCCGAGGTGGAGTGTTCTTTGTGAGTCCGGTCATTCTGTTACGCTCGCGGTCCGACAAACAGGCAGAAAGCCAGGGATCAGGAACACGGGGTTTAATTAAAGCACAACACAAAGCACGCAACGATACAACATCAATGACCAGACTGGGGAAACAAACGGAAACGCGGACTAAATACAATGGACTAATGACAACAATCAGGAACAGCTGGTAAACACGGGGAATCCACATGCGGTTAACGAGGGGGCGTGGCACACATCAGGATCGGACGGAGCGGGGCATGACACCTATTCTATGCTCCTTTCACTGGCTTCAAACTAAGTCTCAGATCGATTACAAAATACTGCTATTAACTATATAAAGCATTGAATGGTCTTGCACCAAAATTTCTGAGACCTAGTGGTCTCTGACAACCCTCCTCACCTGATTCAATCTGAAGGAGCAGGATATCTTTTAAAACCTAGAGTAGAAAGAATTATGACAGGATACAGAGCTTTTTCTTGCATAACTCCGCAGCTGAGGAACAGTCTCCCAGCGGATGTGCGAGATTCAGGCACACTCTCAATATTCAAGACTAGACTGAAAACACGCTTGTTTGGTCTAACTTATAAGGACTCTAGTTCTGGGTGGGGATCGGTGCCATTGACTGTGGATGAACTGAACTGTAGGTGCTGTCATTTTAGCTTCACACCCCCTTGTGGAACTGGAGTCCTGACATTCAGGGACTCCCCATGCCTGCATGCCCACTTCCCTCTCACAACCAACTTATGCTGCCATAGCCATATCTGCCAGAGCTTACATACAGTACACTGCCTGGCCAAAAAAAAAGTTGTCATTTGAATTTATATCAGCAAATACTTAAGAGCCAATGACTGGATCATTATTACAGCTCAGCAATGTTATGCAGCAATAAAGTAAAGTCAGCTGAGTACCTGAATCTACTGAATGGCCAGGTTACACCTCCATCCATCATGAATGGATTGTTTTCTTCCCTATTGGCATGGGCATATTCCAGGACAAGAATGCCAAGATTCATTGGGTTTGAATTGTCAAAGACTGGTTCAGGGAGCATGAGGAATCTTTTTCACGCATGACTTAGTCACCACAGAGTTGTGACCTTAACCTCATTGAAGGTCTTTGGGATGTGCTGAAGGAGGCTTTACAGAGTGGTTCAACTCACTTGTCAATACAGGATCTCGGTGACAAATGAATGCAAATCTGAGTGAAAATAAAGAGTGAGATGTTGCATAAACCTGTGGAAACAATGCCATGACAAATGTGCGCCATAATCAAAGACTTTTTTTTTTGCTGGGCAGTGTATTTTACTTGTCTGTTTGCACAACCTCTAGTCTCTCCTACTTTAGCTAATGCACTTTTTATTTCCCCTACCCTTCCTGGGGTGTGCTGCCTGGAGACCCAAAAAATCAAGATATTTTGTCTATGCTGCAATGCCTACTACCTGCGATGTCCTTCTGGCCTGTCTGCCCTCCTGCCTGTGGCATCTCTCCTGTCTGCCCTGCTGCTGCTCCACTGTTCATCATTCACCTTCACCATCACCTTCCTGCCCTCTGCATTGAGACTCAAATTGTAAAATTTGGACTTACGTAAATTAGTATTTTGCCATCCTGCTCATTTGACCTCTGTTGGCCCCTGTAGGATGGGCTCCCCCTTTGAGTCTGGTTCCTCCCAAGGTCTTGAACTGAATTGAAATTTAAATTCTATAATTGAAAAAGAGTCTTTCTAAAGTAGAAGGAATCTCACGGTTATCATATGTAGCACACACACACACACATATATATATATATATATATATATATATATATATATATATATATATAAAATGCTATACAACTGAACCAAATTGAAATTTAAATTTTATAATGGAAAAAGAGTCTTTCTAAGGTAGAAGGAATCTCACGGTTATCATATGTAGCATTAGCCTTATGTATACAAATTGACGTGAAAAACAAAAGGTTAAATGCTTTTTGAAATCAAATGTCATGAACTTATATGAAGATGCTAGACTTAAAATGAATTGGATTAGACAGGAATGGTGTGTGTGCCCTGCATTGGGTTGGCGCCCCGTCTTTCACCCATAGCCTCCAGGATAGGCTTTGGACCCGCCCCCCAACCCTGAATAGGGTAAGCAGTTACAGAAAATGGATGGATGGATGGATTATTCAGTTTGTGAGGAATCCCACCTCCATTTGGAATGATATCTCCTTCCATATCTTCGCTAATCTTTGACTTTGAATTTGAGGCTATTCCACCCAGACTCTGGAATGTTCCTCCATTGGCCCGGTGATCTACGGACTCGGTCAACAGTTGTAACTGCCTGGTAAAAATTCATTTGTGTAGACGGGCAGTTGACTAGCATGTTATATTTTGTTTATTTTTATGTATTTTTTCTGTTTTATTGTTTTACTGCCTTTGGTTTTTATTGTATATATTTATTAGTTTTCATATGTAAAGCACTTTGTGACTGTATAAAGTGCTATATAAATAAACTTTACTTATAGTGATTTTTAAATATTTGAATTTTTTGTTAAACACAGTCACACACTAACTTGCAGTTAATGATTTTTATTTGCTTTTTCACAAAATGCAGTTTGAAATGGGAAACAAAAGCTTAGGAAAAAAATTTAACTTAATGCCAATAAAACATATTTTCATAATGAGGCTGAGGGAAAGAAAGCAAGAAATGTTACAGTAAACTGAGGACCCCTGCAGTCCTGTTACTTATTACCCTCGTAAAGCTTCACTAGACAACGCATATTTTTTATTCTCAGCATTACTATAATCTTTCCAGAACTCCTAGAAATACGCTAACATTTATTCAGCTGAGCCTTCATACATAACCAATGTGCTGGACCTGAGCGGAGCTTCACCTTGCTGTGGAAATATCTTCACAGCTTCGTAAACTTCGTTCAGCTTCTCTTGCAACTCTGTAACAGTCTTTGTCTCCATTGTACCGGTTGTATTCACATTTTCTCCCCAGTGTGCCTTTGACATCCATTGCCCATCATTTGTCTTACAGCAGAAAGCCGTCCACATCAGCTTGGGGATGTTCACTCTGCTCGCCAGTGTCTGATTGCCAGGAACAGCTCCAGTCACCACATAAGCCTCTATGTTTCCATTTGTACCGTTGCAGTGCTTGTTCATTAAAGCTATAACATTACCCTCCATTCGGTTCCATGCACCTTTATTGAAGTCTTTATTCTGAGGGACAATGTTGGTAAGAGTGAAAGTGGAATTTGCTGTGTTTTGATCACTGGCATGTTGCTTTGGGAAGAGGTGTCCCTTGTTGACATTACTTGTATTAATTGAATTATTGTAATCCCCTAAAGTAGCTTGTTTTTCATACTTTCTTTGGTTTGCTAGCATCATTTCTTTCTCTGGCTCTTCAAGCTGTAGGGACAAGAGCAGAGTTTTACTGACATTTCATTTTAAGCAAACAGCTGTAGCAGGGTGACACACAATAAACCACTTCACAACATTGTAAGAATCATTAACATAATCTGACAGCATGTGCCAAATAATGAGCTAAGTGCTTATTACAGTTTGTCTCAATTGCTTTGGAGCAATGGCAATGGCAATGGCAATTCTCAAATGGCAATTAATATTTGCAAAACAAGTGTAATCCCCACATCATAATGTCACTTCTGCACAGCAGAACATCATTTCTCATTGCTTCACACAAATTTCCCAGTGTTTTAGTACATATATGCAAATGGTTTTGTACAATTGTCATGATTTGGCACAATTTGCAAGTTGCTTTAGTCTTGTTGTTCAAAATAGATTATGTAGTTTCCCAATTTAATAATTTTACATCCAAAACGGTATATGTATGTGACCACGGTTTTATTGTCATTTTGTTGTTCTTGTATTGCCATTTTGCTGTTTTTGTGTCATACAGTGCTGTGTGACTTTTTTGTTTGCTATTGTACTGTGTCTTGAGATCTGACAATTACATGTGTATGCGAGTGCTTTGTCCTGCCAGTGAACTTTACATACTGTAATGTGGAGCCTTGCAATGTTGAAACTGGTATCTGTGGCATGAATAAGTATCAGTTTGCTGATGAAAAATTATCAGTGAATAACGATGAGAAAGTGGGAACCGACTATCATTCAGAATTTTGGAGTTCAGGAGCAAATTACACTGACATACAGACAATATATCTAAGCATTTTGACTCATGGTTTAAACAATGCTGATTGTACTTCTCCTTTTGGTTGCACTGACTAATTCATTGGTGGAATTATTTGTATTTGAGACATGAGTTAATCGTTTTGCGTAAGTTACAGGATTTTGTAGCTAAAACATAGTGTTGTGCTATGTGCATGAACTGTATTGAGAAATACACTTATAGTATTGAGTATGTTACGCATGTTTCATGAAATATGCCAAAGCAATCGAGAAAAACTGTAAAAAAAATCTGTCCTTTAAATGATACTTTGCTTTTGATAGAAAACAATGAAATTTTGCACAAAAGCATTTGCAACAGGATAGATCACTCTTCAGACAATTGAAATATATTAAAATTACCTGTGGCTCAATATACCATTGTTCCACGTCGTTTCTTCTAGTGTTTTCCTTTTTCCCAATGAATTTATAGGCAGAAAACACGGGGATCCTGTTGCTTGTATCGTAGAGCGTAGCAAACCTGTACGTGTTATTGAAAAATTGGCATATTACTTTATAACGATTCTGATCTTGAACATTTCCTCCTGCCAGAATGCCGGATATCTCTGGTGGTGTTTTATCCAAAAAAAACTGCTCACATTCTGGAACATCACTGAATCTGTGCACAACATGCGGTGCAGTGAGAGGCAAAGACAGCACAATGAGACACAAAAGTGCACCTTCACACACATACATCTTCTACTCCTGAACTGATGGAACAAGCAAAGTAAAACCTCTTCCTTGAGATATACGCTCTGCGCAGATGAGCGTCTCTCTGCTGTTATTATAGTCTCAGAAACCACAGACTCCACCCACCCTCCCCAGCCCCATCTTTGCAAAATTCA